TCGCTACAGTAGCAGGATGGCACAAAATCTCTGGACATTGGCCCTATTACTGGGCCTGAAGAGCAAGGTTGGATTTTTTATGGCGGGACAGATGGAAATGAGACATTGGGAACCCAGGGGCAGTCCTGTGATTTTGCATCTGGCACCACACTACATCTTGCACGTCACAACCCCCCATACTGGGTTTCCAGAATGCTTCCCTTTCGAGTCCATGAAAGAACTCCATTCCACTGACAAGAGATTGAGGGTGTTTTTTGCAGTTCTTACAATAGTATTTAATTTAATGCTGGTCTAGATAAGTGTCACTTTTAAAATAGACATTATCAAAACTAACTTCTGCATATCATGGCTAACAAAAGCCACCAGCACAGGAAGAGGGAACATGCGCAGGAAAGGGGAAACGGGCACTTCCACGATCATCTGAGGGCTTCGCGAGCCTTTTTATCGGCATTACATCTACTCTTCAGAGGCCGTTTGAAAACTTGCTCATTCAGCTCCCTGTGGCACCTCCATTTCAGACCCTCCCCAGTGGGCTCTGTGGTTTCCTGCTGGTTCGTGTGGAAGCTCCATGTTCCTCTCTCCACAGGCCTTACGTATTTCTCAGATGCCTCTTCCTAACTAGTGTCTCAGGCAATAAGTGTATCCAAAGATTGACTGAAGATTCCGGTGAGAGCGTGCCCTCTCCTACAGCAGGACTGTCTGCCCGGGCCCGGGCTCAGGAACCAGAGAAAATAATAAACAGGATGAAATCAACATGATTGCAAAATAGCAAGTGGACTCAGGAAAAACAGGGTGGTTTGGCCAGAACAAATAGAAAGGCATCAAAAAACAGCTTGTTTTTCCCCTGGTGACAACCATACGCTACCTGCTTGGGATGTTTACCAGAAAATGGATTCAAGACCTTCCCACTGTCAAAATAAAACGGGGCCTTTCACCCAGGAACATCTGGTCCCTTGGTCCCAGGGAAACACAGCACAGGGCAGGCCAGGTGAATGGTGGAGGACCCAGCAATGCACACTGTGCCCGTGGGGGCGGGGCAGAGGTGCCCTGCAGCTGCAGAACAGGAGCAGGTTGTCCTGAGCAGGTGTCCTGGTGGGCAGCAGCCCCGCCTCAGTCCCACAGCCACGATCAGCCAGAACGTGCGATCAGAGCCAGCCCGTTCCCAGTGTAAAAACAGCTGGACAATGTGGATGAAATGGGCCAGTTTCTAGAAAAATACAATCTTCCAAAACTGAATCGGAAAAAGTCAGAAAACCTGGATAGCTGATAACTACTGATGAATTTGAGCACACTCCAAACCTACTCCGGGCCGACCACTTCAACCCCGCAGACCCTTAAGACCTTCCCCCCTATTTCTTTGAGTTTCCCCCATCAAACTCGCACTCTATCACATTGCCTAGGAGCACCCCTAACTGCTCCCTGGGGCGTGGGGCCAGCCTGGGCGAGGGGCCATGGTGTTCTGGTCTCTGGTCGTTTTGGTCGTCAGGGACACTGGCTTTTTATATAGATAGATGATAGATAGATAGATAGATAGATAGATAGATAGATAGATAGATAGATATGCATAACCCATGGACATTCTAGTAGTATGGTGAAGGCCGGGGGTAGGGGGTGGCTGCTGTGGGGTGAAATGGGTCAATGGGGGAAAAAGGGGGACATCTCTAAGACTTTCAACAATAAAGATAATTTTTTTTACAAAAAAAAAAGCAAAGCCAGTTACTTGTGCCCATTTTCTCATTTGTAAAATAAGGATAGTAACAGTTCCTATCTCTTAAAGTTATGGGAGGTTTTTTAAGTCAACTTTGTTACAGTAACAAATAACACCAAAAATCTCAATGACTACAAACAGAGCATTTATTTGTCATGTTACATGGGACTATAGGTGGCTGCAGGTGGGCATATGTATCTCCGCTCCACATGCCTTCTCTCAGGTCCTGCTGGAGGAGCAGCCACAGTATTCTCAAGGCAGAGGCAAGAAGAGTGGAGGCAGAAACAATGCTTTCAAGTTCCTTCTGGGACATGATATACTTCATGTCCGCTCACTCACACGCAGTTGGCCAATGCTATTCACACCTAAAGTCAACATTAGTGGGATGGGCTGTCGTTCCCTAGGAGGCAGTGAAAGTCACACGGCAATAGGCAGGGATGTAAAATACAAAAAGGGCGGAGTAAATGCTTGGAAACAATCCTATCACAGGAATATGGACTGAGATGCTTCAAACAGTGCCTGGCACATGATAAGCGTTCAGTAAGAATTGACTATAATTATACTAATAAGTAGAAGGCACAAAACCCTGCTTGTTTCCTCTCCCTCTCTTTCTCCTCTTTCTTTTCATCTTCTCCTCCTCCCCACCCCATATCCTTTCTGTTTCTTACCTTTGTCCATCCTTACCTCCTACTCTATCCATTCTTGGCTACCTATACACCTTTGTTGCATGACTTTCATCTCTCTCCTTTTCAAAATTCATTTTTCATTATCTAATTCTCTACTTCTCTGATCTACACATCTGGGCCTTCTGTGGTTGGCCAAATTGTTTTCAGGTAACTAAAAGAGGCAATTCACCTTTATGTGGGACATGGAAGGAGTTAGTCTTCATTAATGACTGTCTTACTAATAACATATTTTTAAATAAATTTTATCTTATTTTAATGTACATAGAGCAAACAGTCCCAGCAGATGTGCAGAAAAAAGTCTGGAGCGGGAGTCTGGGTGGCGGCCCATCAGCCCTGATGGACGGCACGGGGCTGCCCGTCGTTCCTGGGCCACAAGGAGGGGGCGGGCGGGGGGGGGGGAGCGGGGGGAGCGAACCACTGGGAGAGGGGCCCGACCATAGAGTCGCTCCGCCACGTTCCTAGAGCCGCTGCGGCGGGGGGGCCTGTACTTTCCGGTGTCTGGAGGGCGCCGAGCGGGGGAGCTGGGGGGTCGACAGGGGTCCGAAGAGGCGCGTGAGCGGGGCGCCGGGGGATCGGCTGGGTCCGGGAGCGCGGTGAGTGGGGCCCGCGAGAAGAGGGTCTGGGGGC